TAGCGTTTAGGAGGTTTAAAGCTCCATTACGCTAAAGTCAGTTATATGCAATCCCCCCTCGCCTCGAGTCTCGGTTTGAAGGCCCACAGCCCGCACTCGTCTCACTTCCAAGTCGAACCGTTCTGAGATTTGTCTATCTCCTCTCCAGCCCTTGGGCTCCCCCCAGACAGTGATGTATATTGGGGCTTCGTGAAACTGGTGTCTTTTTCTCGCAGCCCTATACCATCCGCGCTCGTGGCCTCGCTAATTGCAACGTACTGTATTAAGCAATAAAGGTCTGGAGCTACTCCTCCGGGTGAGATACGACTCTTCAGTAAATTAGGTCTGCCCAACCCCCCCCCCCCCCCCCCCCCCCGACCCTGCGCAGCCCAAACGTTCCAGTTTCCCCCCCCCCCCCCCCCCCCCCCCCCCCCCCCCCCCCCGACCCTGCGCAGCCCAAACGTTCCAGTTTGTCGAGGAAACTCTCTCATCTACAGTCCTATGATTCATTGCCACCTCGGGCGTAACCCAAAGCAAGACCAAGCCGCCGACCACGTATCCTCCCTTACTTCTTCTCTCTTCATTTCGATGGAAACGAAGCGAGATAAAGGAAGAATAAACACACTTTTTTCATTTCACTTCTTTTGGATCACACCCTCTCTCCCTTTTGGTATGGGAATAGCTCTTCGGGGCCCTACTTTTCAAGGTAGAAATAGCTCCAACGCAAACGACACGAGTTACTTTCAGGGGAAAAAACTGAAAGAAAATGGATGCAAAGTCCCATGAAGTTGGCGCGAAACTCTTAATGGAATAAACGGAAAGAGTACTCGCATTGGAGCGAGAGCCCGACATGGAAAGAAAAGCACGTGAAATCGAAAGCGCGAGAATGAAAATCCTCCTCTTGCACTGCAATTATGCGGAATGGAACATAAATCCAACCGAAATGAGAGAAGTCTCTTCCATTGAGCAATTTCGCGTCGTTCCATAAACCACAAGAGAGAAACGACGGAATAATTGCTCGCACACGCTCAAAAGGAACGCAAAGGTTTCCCGTAATGCTAAAAGCCGATGAACTTTTATGACGTGATTCACTCGAAATGGCAAGGTGAGGGGATGCGCGACGTATTCAAATTCCACATTTCAATTCAAATCCAATCGCGTCGAGTTTCCACTATGTAGGATAAGGAAATGTTGCGATTCCGGCGTTGATATTTGCATCGAGATAGGCTAGTTTGCAATATCAGAGTCGTCATGTTTTGTGTGTCGTTTCCTGGGATCGTCTGCTCGCAAGCTGTCCCCCTTTTTGCTTTCCGGTGTTGGCTTGCGATCTGGATTCTGTGGGTAGGGTGATGCTTTTTCAGGAAACGTGAAGTCCATGCACTCTTGCGAGGGCCTTCGGTTCGGCACTTCCGATGCATCTCGATCTTCATCGATCGACTTGCATTCCGTTTCTTTGATCTTCACGGGGAGCCACTTAAAACGTGACGGCGACCCGCTAGTAGGTCGCGACTCACCGGTTGAGGACCACCGTGCCGTAGAACATACGGCCAGGTGAGACGTGACGAGGCAGCTGGTTATGAGAAGTCAGTGAGTATGTTCTTTACAATTGTCATGCGGGTAGAAGATGAAGAGTGACAGCGAGGTGTTGGTCGCGGGAGTGAGAAAGAGCGACAGGGCGGAGATGTCCTGATTATTTATTTAATTTTTGTTTTCGGTTTAGTAGGAGAGTGAGACATAAAGGAAAAAATGCAGGCCACTTTGTCCCGGATTCATTTATCGCACCAAGTACCGGAATTCCTTGCCTAGCCATGCAGCTAACTGTGAAAGATACACCTCAGACTAGGCCTGCACGATATACCGATATCATAAAAAAAATCGCGATGTGGAGCTGTGGCGATATCGATTTCGCCCAGGTACGCGCAAATCGATATTATCGTGGACGATGTCAAACATGGATATTACGATGACATCGCTGCCTCCTTCGAGTGGAGGTTAATTCTTTCTTTAGTCAGACTTCATATCGTTTAGAGAAATGTATATTTTCCATTCTCTCCTGTTTTGACCACAGGAAAGTTCGCACATGGGAAGAACAGTAATTATCGACTTGGATCGATAATTACTGTTGTACATCTTGCTCATCGTACATGCCAACTCCTTTATTTCTCTTTCGTCAAATAAGGATGGAAACAATCTCGGGCCCGACAATATATCCAGTTGATGGTCATAAGAAAAAAAGGGAGGCAACGATTTCCAAGAAAACGGAAATGAAATCCTCTCGCCTCTCTCTAGTGACACTAAGGCGAGACATATGGCGAGGTAATAAACGCTTCCAGTGAGGGTCGATTCCAGGGGAAGAGGAAAGGCCACTTTTGTGCGCTGTCGGGAAGTCACACCCAAAACTCCATCTAGTGGCGAGGAGGAGAACTTTATCATTTCTTTCACACTTTTTAGCTCAATTTGGGTAGGTACATTGGGGCATCGCATTTTTTACAATCGGTTCGATGATGGAATCGCAATATCGGGGAGACATTGCTTCGCCAATATTTAGCCTATGTTGGCGATATTGGCCGAGATGTAACGAACGCACACAATGTCGGTCCAACATTGGGCCAACATCTGGTGCTACTGGGGTAGGGATTCCCTTATGACCAGAGGGGAAAGGCGAATCGATACCAGTGGATTTCCCGGGTAAGTCTGCCAGGACGAACAAATGAAGGAAAAAAAGAGTTCGATTCATGAATAATGTTGATGGACCTGTCTGTCCACTTCCTGAACGTATTTCGATTTTTCCCCCTCTCTAACGATGCTGTTTCCTTCTTTCGACGTGGCGTTTGAGTCGCGAGGCATACTAGAAAAAGAAGCAACATTTAATACCGTTTGTGAGATCGACGGGAGGCTAATTGAGACTTGCACACGTGAGTGCGAGATGCTTTGCACGACCGGAGATGGCGTGCTTCGTCGGACTCAGATTATCTGCAGAGGCAGAGCAATGCAAAGCCCGCGTTTTCCTCCGTTTATCTTCAGATATTTCAGAGGACTCTCAAGCAAAGCCCATTTCGCACTTCGCGTCTCGCGCGATTCAGTGATGCAAGAAGCGTCTCTGCACGCGTCCACATGCGTTCGAACGCAAAGGAACATGTCGTGTGGGGGGGGGGGGGGCATCTCCGTTATCAATTTGACGATGGTGTCGACGGTTTGTCGATGGTGTCGATGGCGAGTTACGAGTGGGCGCACATTGTCGTGCAGCAGCGGCACTTCACGAGTCATTTTTGCTCAGGCTATTGCTACATCCATAAAATTATGGCTACGGCTAAGCAAATTGCCTTACATGCAACTGCAGAACATCAAATATATTCTCAGATTAAATGTCTTCAGAGTGTACTTTCTTCAGCTATGATCAGGATCCTTGCTTGATATCTTAATTCAAATTTTCTAAGGAAAATATAGCGATTTTTATTATTTCAATACTTTTAAAAATTAAAGACGAGGGTAAAGCCAATTGGGACTATCCTGAACATTCACACAACAAATACGATGAACCTTTTTTTAGTTTCGCATATACAGGGTGGGGCAAAAATACCTGACGGTTATTTAATTCCAATAACTAATGATTGATGGCAGATACATTTTATAGTGATTTATTTTGTAATTCTGCAAACATCGGAGAATACAGTTTTCCATGCCTCAAATTATACTGGAAGATGGTGTCCTGCAGATGGGCTCCTTCGCGGTCAATACATTCTCCTGCGCGTGTGAAAGACGAGTAGAATGCTTTTTGCAGCAAATTATTTTTGTCGCTTTGGGGACCTGAACTGGCCTTCCCCCTCATCAGACCTGGCAGCGCCTGATTTTTTCTTTTGGGGCTGTTTAAAGAGCAAGGTGTGTGTCACGCCCTACCAGTATCGATGATTTCAAGGAAAGTATTCACCAGGAGATTCGAAATAACCCCAATGACTTACCGCGCCGAGTCATGGCATCCGTGTCTACACGCGCAGGAGAACGTATTGATCGCGGAGGAGCCCATCTGCAGGACATCATCTCCAAAAAAAAATTGAGGCATGGAAAACTGTCTTCTCCGATGCATGCAGCATTTAAAAATATATCACTATAACATGCTGCTATCAGTCATTTGCTATTTCTGCTAAAAAAAAACTGCCAAGTATTAATATTTCTGCCTCATCCTGTATATGGATGGGTAACTCTTTTCATGACGAATTTTTCGTACTTTCGTCTCGGGCGACTTTCTTCGCTTTTGCCATTCTATTTTCCGGTTGACTTTTTTTTGCGAGACTCAGCCGCGATGATCTCATGCATTTCATTTTTATTATATTGGTCACGAGTGCGTCTTATCAACAGCGTGCAGACTAAAATTTGAGAGGGATGGAAGACCCCCATGGAGCTTTGGTGCACATCCACCCGGTCCCTCAAAAGCTTGTTTCGAGCACGTGCACATATTGACACAGGCTGTGACGTAGCGAAGAGGGGGAAGAGATGACCGGGAAAGCGCGTATTGTCTCTGTGGAAAGTGCTTTCAGTGGAGGAAACGGACTCTCCCTTATTACTTCTTGCGGTAACGTTCATCAGCAATTTTTTGCCGCGCCCTGTTTTCTCACATGGCCAGCCAGTGGCGGATCCATCGGGCGGGAGGGGGGAAGGGGTGGCGACCGCCGCCCCATGGGTCATTCATTGCCTTTAAATTATTCGTGCTGATGCACGGGCTACTGACTAGTTACTTTGAAAAAACCTCGTTCTGGATTCCGGTGGGTCGCGGAATTTTTTGTACGTCAGCAAGTGGGTGGCGATTCAAAGAAGTCTGGGAATCGCTGCTCTCTACTACTCAGTTAAGGGTGAAACGGGAAAATAGGCTGAGAGGTGAGACCGTATCGCGCAGCGATTCTTAGCTTAGAAGGTGCCGTTCAGTCCTAAATTTTGAAATGAATTTCTCGCACAACCGTAGAGACGAACATCGTCCTCCGCCGAAACATAACTGCTCCTCCTTTTCGTTATAACTCAGTATACTGCTACCATTTCTTCACTTGATTGCTCTTATTGATCTCTGACTGGCCATAGATGACTTCTAAAAGACGTGGTAGTATCCACTCCCCCGTGGGTGGATTGAGCGCCCTGCAGGAAGGGGTCTGAAAGCCACAGCTTCTCATCATATGGATATATCGTACTTCGACACACTGGGCGACTCTTCCCATCCAAAAGCTGCAGCTCTGTTAGAGTATATTGCACCCTATTCTGTTACGTAGCCACGACTCATTAGATAAGGGGATACTGCGAAGCAAGATTCAAAGAAAAACCATTTCGTTTTAACATGGAGCTCCGAGTTCAATGCTTACAATTCGCGAGAGATTTTCACATTCAAGTCTTGGAGGAGGAGCATGGAAGAGCGTCGGCACCAAACACCATCCGAACGATATTAGGGAGAAAATTATAACCTCCAAGGGGGAGCCAGGGGTGCAGCAGCACCCCTGACCACATAAGATACGCCACTGGGGAAGAGGAAGGACAATACTAGGTTCTAACACTGAAGGTTTCATTTTCCTGTAGAGTTCAATGAGAAAATACCTTTTTCAACATTAATAAGATCCTATGAACGAGAGTCATGAGGTAGTATAATTTTAAACTAGGCTTATCAAATGGATTTTAGAAAAAATATTTTAAAAAGTCAGAGTACAAGAGAACCTGCTAATACTAACAGATGAAACCTGAAATACATCCTGTCTTTGCCATCATTGAGGATACAGGAGAAAAAATGCAGATGTGGATAAAAAGCTCACTTTTATTGCGATGGTATATCAAAATGACTTAGTAAGGGAAACTAAAATCAGCTATCACAGACAGAATTCAGAAGTACAGAGGTAAACCTGAGACACAAACAAATAAAAGGATGGCCATTCCTAAAGAATGCATAATATTGAGTGACAATCACACATTTTGGTCCTCTCCACCTTTGTGACGTCGCCTGGGATGCCATATCCGACGTCTCACTGTCGTCATCTGCAAAATTAATTCACGGCACTTTGGAAACTTCTGGAGGAGCATTGGAATACATGAATGCACATTGACCCAAACATGCATAAAAGTGGATATTTCAGTTACTTGCCTCTCATTCAGAAAGGAAGAATAAATTAGTAAATATTCTGCTTCCAACTCACCTGGACTCGCAAGAAACTCAAAAGGGTAATGAGAAGGAGGACGAAAAAGAGTCCATAGGTGAGAAAGCGAAGGATGTTGCGATAGAAGAGCCAATCCTGGAGATCTCTGAGATACAAGAACCGATTCCGCAGGATCGCGGGATGCTCGAAGGAAGAGGGGATTGGGTGAATGGATTCATAGAAGTCTCTCATTAGAGCCTGGATCAAATGAACATCCTTGGCATCTTGATCCTTGTCATCATTCAGACAAATGAATTTCCTATGGATGAAAAAGACAATTGTAAGTAATGTAACAAGCTCTTGGGAGGGATAGGGATGAGTCAAGCAGCATGAGACAAATGGCATAAGGCTCACTTGGGATTTCGTCTCATTTCGTCAAGCTGTCTCACAACAAGGCTGACATTGGAACTAATCATGTGAAAAGTGGCTTCCTCATCTCCCATAACTTGATACTTAAATCTAGGCTTAGTTCCAAACTTTGCCAGCATCTGATCCACGACGGGAGAACAATTCAGGATCAAGTTCCGACTGACCGTGGGCTGAAACGAGATGCCCTCTATTAAAATCACTCAACTGACAGTTACAGGGGGTAAGCAGCCTTGTTAAGATAAAGGAAAGGAGTTTACCAATGGAGAGTCAAGATATCGTTCAAAGGCAGGAGTGCTGCCTTGAAAGTATTCAGGTGGCAAGTGTTTAGAGCAATTCAAAATCAAATCCTCAAATGTCCTGATGTCGCTCATCAGCAGAGGGAGGCTCACCATACGGGACAACAGAGTCCTTATCTCTCTGTCTGACCAGGTTCTGATGAGAAATGCTATTATTATGAAAACATTCAGACAGGAATTGAGTGTATTGTATTGTAGGTATAGGGTGGATTGCATAGAACTGACGAATGTAATGAGCACCACTAACCATTAGCACCACTAACGGAGGTATAAACCTAAATTAGCATAGCTAAAGGAGGTTTAAAGCTTCATTACGCTAGTCAGTTTTATGCAATCTACCCATAGTCCTTAAAAAAAAAAACATTCCCCTTTTCTCGGATTATAAGCATATGGTAGGAAATGTACTCAGAGGTGTTAAAGAGAAAGTAAGAGAGAGAAGTTTCACTGCATGCAGGACCGAAGATCTCACCCTGAGTTGTCTACATCAAATTCTTGAAAAAGATCCTCTGATGTTATCTGTTTCTTCTCACTCATGATGTAATAATAATAAGAGAAGGCAAACTGCATGTCAGTCGGACTTCGGATTCGATGACTGGATGTTTCATCAAATTCCTTTGAGAAGCTGCTCAATGAGATCCAATGAAACTTCTTTGAATCAACTCAAAATGGCACATGCAATTCAGAATATGCTAGGTCTACCTTAGCTGCAATTCTTGCATGATCTCCTTGTCAATGAGATGAGGGATATGAGCTGGGACACGCCTTGCTTCAATACCATACTGGTGATTGTACATGCGATTCACATACTTTAGACTATCGCCAAACCCCTCCATCAAACGTCTTCCAGGCACCAGGCTTCCCTGATAATTGGGAACTACCAACTGATCCCCATCATCTTCTGCTGCATGCGGCAAGGGAAGGACTGAGCATGAAGCAGACCTGTAGAATCATATATTTCAAGCTAACAAGCACCATGCAAGTTAGTACCTGCCACTAAGCTCTGAAGAACAGTGACATTGAATTGTGCAGCAAGAGGATGGAGATGAGAGTGATTGAGTGATGTGAGAAACTTCATGTCAACAATGGAGGAAGCAAGAGAATTTGAGTAGATGCGAAGAGCATGGAATGTGGCAAGACCCCTCTTGTAGAGGACTCCTCTGTTAGTAAGCAATCCGTCCACCCATTCCTTACTCAACATATCCAATGTTTCCCTGTATGATGTGTGTATTGCTGATGTAGAAAATGTCAGATTCAAAGCTCCCAGGGACATGAGGACAGAGGCATTGGGAGTCAACATGGACTGTGCAGCATTCACATGGCTCCTAGTAGCATGACTGCTCTTTGGTCGCAATGTATGGACAGATACCACAAATTCCCACTGAAAGAAGGCAATGATTGAACAATCCATAAAACTAAATCCCATGGGAGATGACAACAACTACTGTGGATTAGTTATTTTTGAACCAGTCATGATCCTTTCTCAGACAACTCACAGTTTTCTCTCCAGCAGTATCCTTTGCATTGAGTCTGAATGAAATGTCAGTTGCATTGTGACCCTCATAAAGGAGAAGAATGGCAAATTGATCATGCAGTGACCAATGGACAGTTCGCACCAAGCTATTTGGCACATATGTTCCTTGTGTCAAAGAGACCCCAGGTCCAAAGTGAGTCATGTTCAACAAGCCAGCCACAGTTCCTATAATTAAAAAAATTTGCATGATAGATAGGCCAGGGCAAAAAAGACATCAATAAGCATTAACCCTTTAATTATTGAATCAGCCAAGAGAGGCTGGTTCTTTGTGCGTTGCTACTAGCTGACAGTTCTGTGAATGCAGAATTCACACTTCAAAAATTAGAATTTCCATCGAGATTATTCTTGAAGTCAGCTATGAGGGATAGACTGCCCTGTCTGAACACTTGCTAACCTCTCTGAATCCTAAGGGTAGTAGCAAACAAGACTCACCATTCCTGAGATGATATTGACTAGTGCCAGGGAAAAAATGAATCTGTTCCAAAGTGCACAAAATTTCTTTCCCACAGTCACCCAAGTCAAAACCACAGTCAACTACGTTGCAAGTCTGTGAAGTATATGGAGAAAATACCAGTGAGAAACCAGAGATAAAGTAATTACTGGAAACAAACTGATGTGATTCAGTGTTGGACATACATTATCACAGTACTGGTCAGCAAGCCATGAATTGAGACAAAGGGGAGCACAGAGTTGAGTTTCTTCCTCCTCTTCTGGTAGTCCACCCCAGGGTGTGGTTGAATTAAGCTGGACACCCACACAATCTCCTCCATCCCAATCACATTCTGAATGATTGCACACTGGGTCACATGTTCCATCATGCAACCATGATGGAGGGCATCCCTCATGACAATCAGGAAGATTCCATGATAGATACAGTTTCTGCCCAGTAGTTTCAGCATAGAAGTCATCTGGCCAGACAGGCTTTCCCAACATCACATCATCGTTGAAATATATGAATTTATCACTCAGCCCTGGAATCCTGGTCAGTGAAAAATCAACATCAGCCATCTACTGAGGGTATGTAGGAACATCCTATGTAGCCCAGAGCTGAGAACTCACTGATGCAAGTGACTTTCAATGGCAGGGCTACTAAAAGTAGGCAGATGAGACTTGTTGGGAAAAATTTCATAATGGGAAACTATTTTCAACCTGGGGTTCTCCAAGTTCAACCAGTAAGGAATCTGTCCTGCAGTCACCAAGAAGACATTCCTCACCCATGGAGCATAATTTTCTAGTGAGCGCAAGGAATAACGCAATTCCTGTAAATACAAGGGGACATGAGTCATGTTGTTACTTTCTAAGCTCTAACAGATACTGGAACCAAATTCCATTACAGATGCTAACCTCGTTATCCTGGAATCGATGAGAAGAAATGTCCTTGATCCAAGGGATGTCAAAATACAATCTCAGCACTAGTCTTGCATGAAACAGCCTCATAGGTTCTCCTTGAAATTGCAGACTCTCTTCTTCTGCCATCTGGAAGCATAGAGGAAGCCATCACCTCAGAGAGCTCATATGCATCAGGCAGTGCTATGATTGGAGTAAGAATGACTTTCACACCTGAAGGATGCGTTCAGGCACTTCCTGAGCCTTAAAGCGCAACAGGAAGAGTTGACTTCTAAGAAGGACAATGTCTTCTATTTCTCTTTTCACCTCTGCAGGGAGTTCAGCAGCCAAGACTTCCTCAGTGACATTCTCTCTTGCCCAGATTCTAGCTAACACTGTGTCTCTGAAGTCCAAGGAAAATGGAGCTTCCTCCTCTATAAGATATATAATTTTCAATCATTTGCCTACTCTTTCATCAAAGAAAAAAAAAAAATTTTCACAATCACACACCAGCTGTCCAATGCCCAATTGACACTGAATACATTTCTTGATTGATCGTAATCTGCTGATGAGTTGATGCTAAGATGTTCACATCTTCCATCCGAGGCTGGAAGATGTAGCTGGCTGAATAAGGCAAGGTGAGATTGGTGTGATGCAGTATGGCATCTGTGTGGATTCCCGGAAGGAGCATTCGTAGATACTTCACAGATATGTAATCTGGCAATCGGGGACTGAGAAAAATCCAGTCTCATGTTACTTGGATGAAGAAGGGATTTTTACTTTGATTCTTTGTGAAATTCATCATGCAGGCCATGCTGTTTTGATACCATGAATAAATGATACAAAATCAACATACCTAAAAACAAGCACCTTAGCTGGAGCACAAAGGAAAAGATTGCATGAAGCATTTTCATTAGGAGACCTTGAAAAATAAAAATTTTCAATTAGCTCCTCCTTCACTCTCCTCAGGTTCCTGAGCCAATCAGGGTCAGATCCATTCACCCAAGTGTAGACTACATCCATTGGTACAAACTGACATAGTCTGCAAAGAAACACACAAAAACTAGATATAAGATATCATTAATGAGTGAAAGTGAAGGCTGAATGAAAGTCATTGGGATTCCCTATTCTCATGTTTTGAAAATGATTTTCATAAAGCATCCTTAAATTCCTCCTATAACAAATTGCCCTTTTGTATGGATGTAATTGGTTCCCATGATGTCAAAATGTAATGCAACTCACTGGTTTTGCATGGAATGTCTCTTCAAGTTATCATTGTATGCCTGCAGGTGGGCATAATAACTTGATCTGCTAAAACTCAGCCATACCTATAGGGAAATTAATGTTGAAGTCCTCACCAATCAAATGAGCCAATAGACACATATGATTACCATAAAAATGATTGATTATGCGACAGACAAGAATGATCCTCACCCCTCCACAGAAGATGACAGCAAGTAATAGACCACCAAGAAAAAATATCTGCTGTCGTTGTGTGGAAGCATCATAAACAAAACGCTGCAAATTTTTCCATTTCCATTCATTCATTCTCTTGGTCCATACAAGTGGCAATCATTGGATCAACCCATTTAGTTAAATATTCACAAGATGAAAATGAATGCCAACATCAAAACCTGTAAAATAATGGGAAGAGAGTACAACTTGAGTCATTTTGATGATATCAAAGTAAAACTTGCTTCAAATCCTCTGTGTCTCTCAGAATGGACTTTATTGTACCATTGGTCTCAATACTAACCCCAAGTTTAGTTTCTCTAAACAACACAACACCTTTCTAATATAAACATTATCAAAGAAACCAAGGATTCTGACTAACTTCTTTTTTGTCTAGTTTATGCTGCTGGATATGTTTATTAGCAAGATAGATCTGACCTTTCACTTCTACTGGGATGGATTCTAAAAATCTATCTATAATTTATGTGAACACTAACTCTATGAGAGTTCCATGAAAGCAGAATACTGAAAAATTGAGTAGTTGAGTTATTGAATGCAGCAACAGACTTTTCAATGATAATATTATGAGAGGTCCATGAACTATTTTCATCCTAACTTTTGACAACTTCAAAGGCATTCAATGATCAGTTTATCACTCCTCATCTCACTCAAGGCATGTATCATAATGCACTGTGAACAAGGAAAACAGTTCATGATAGCACTGAGATGATAATGAGGAAGAAATTCTTCATTCACTTTCAAATACTGCCAATTAGACATGCTCATGAGGATGACATTAAGAATCTTAGCACATTCACTCCTTTCAATCTTGCAATTTTATCTGAGGCAAGCCTACAAAAATAATAATTGAAATTGAGGGGTAGACAAGAGTAAGCCTCTTCTCAGCTGTGGGCAAGCTCAGAGAGTTGCTGAAGCAACTTCTGTAGGGATCAAATGGTTAGTTGGGTAAGCAGCTGAATTACTGAATAAGCATCAGCTGTCTGATCAAGAAGCACTTTCCCTGCACATTTCCCTTAGTGTCTTTGTGTCTTTCATCCACTATTGCCAATCTCTGATTGGAGGTCTTCAGCCTTAGAGCCTATTTCACTTCTTGGACATGATTCATTTCCTCCCCTGTCTTCAGCTTTTCTTTCTTAGGGGGTGCTGTCTGGTGTCCTCATTGTTCCAATGATGTTTGCAAAGTTCAAACTACAGTAATCACTCCATAGGTCAAACCCTGGAGGAACAGTAATAAAGATAGATATGAGGGGCAATCCAAAAACTTCTGCCCTGAGGTAATAGGAATGATTGGAGAAGACTGATAATTAGTTCCTATATTCCTTCATCTTTTTTGGCAATTTCAAGTGTCAGCAATCGGTTTTAGGTGCCTTTATATTTTAATAATAATTTGTACATAAGATATATTCAAGCCAAAATTTAGCAATTTCAAAATTTTGATATGGAGCAGTCTTTTTAAATTTGTATAATTAGTATAGATATCATTAATTAAAGTATCCATGAGACATAAACTTATTCATCCCAATAAGACAGCTCATTCAATTATATAAATTTAAAGCAAAACTTCCTGTGAAGCAGCCACAAAGTTGAAACAAGAACCTCTAGGAATCGTGTCAAGGCTTGAAGGTTCATAGATTTCACTCGAGGTATTAGCAGGAAGAGAAAAGCAAATCCATGAATGCAGGGTGAAGTGGATATGTAAGGAAACGAAAGAAATTCTTGGAAGCAGACTGGAAAACATGGGGCCATTCAAACTCTTTGTACCTTAGAGTTCTCAAGCTTGATACAAATATAGCACAATCACAACCTATCCAAATCTATTTATGAAGATTTATGAATGAAATTTAAAAAAGGCATTTTACCTCAAAAAGTGAAAATGAAAAGAAAAAGTTCACTTAGTGGTGTGGTGCAGGGGGCTTGAGCTCCCTCAACCCATCCAGTTTGACAATCTGGTCACACCCTCCTCTTGCACTGTGCTCATTTATTTTGCAGAGGTCCCACTTCCTAAAGTCCTGCATGCCACTGGCTTCACTTCAAAATGATGACATTTGAAAAGTATTATTTTCAAATGTACGAGGGTTCTTCAAAATTTCTTAACAAATAACCAAGCTGGAAATGTTAAATGGCCAAACATCCCCAGCTGCAGAAATATGTTTACAGTTCCATTTGACCACGGAACATCAAGGAGGAAATGAGTTCCTAAAAATTAAAGATGGAGTTAACTTTGTCCCCATGGGATTTAACCCTTTGGAGTCTGAGTATTTGAACAGTGTCAGCACTGTCATCTAAGTTTTTTCTATCCTTCACCTTGAGGCCAACATGAAGAAATTCAGGCATGGGACCCCAAAAGGTTAATAAAAGTACACTATCACACTGGGCATCACTGTCACATCAAATGTACTTTAAGGGTTGGTTAATGTCCCTTGATCTGAATGACATTTTTTATGTTGGATCCCATGTGAAAATTCCATATATGGCCGAGTGCATGATCCTATATGGCCATGTATGATCATATATTTGCCATATACCACCATATATGTATTCATATATTATAAATTGTATGGTGTATAATATATTTTATCTGCATTATATTATGTGCAATAGCCTAATGGCATCATGCTGATATGTGGTGAATATCCATAGAGAAGGCTTACTGTTGTAAGTAAAACATAGCATGAGGTCAGTGGCATATTTTGGCTGAAGAGTCAGGGAGGCAGCAGCAGAACAGGGCTGGCAAACCCTGTCCCAGGGATGCCAGGGAGGGGCAGCCACTCCCCCCCTGAACACACGTATGTTTGAGAAATGACACAAAAGAAAGAAGAACTGAAGAAAGACACATCTCCCATTCTCACATTCTCCCAACAGTAACTTCATTGAACCATTTCTTCCTAGGACCTCATTCTTCTTCATTGGATTATTTCAGAAAAAAAAAAAACTTTTTTGTTTCCATCTGTCTTTTGAGTTTTCAGTCAAAATGAAGAAGACACTCCTACATGAATAAGTCAAGTTTTGTCGGGAAATAGCATTACTGATGAAAATACTTGTGAAGATTAAAGTCTATAATATTGAAACTTTCACCTTCATTAACAAGGGTGCATATGTTAAACACCATGAAACACAAGTCCTTAGAGTAATTGACTATGGTCTATGAACAATTAAAAATGAGTTAAATGCAAGGAAAGTAAGAAAAATATGGTGACTCACATATGAATGATTATGCAGTATTTGATGGATTATGGACCCTTTTAGGATACAGGCCAGTTTCAGGTAATCTCATCATACATAGATATGACATGGTATATATGGACAGTATATGGTGCATTTCTATGAGACAATATATGAAAATGTATGGGGGCATATATTTTCATTCTGATATGGTTTTATGTGACTTGTGTCAAACCCCATACATGTTTCACATATCTCACTCATGAATTGCACTATTTATTCATATATGCACCATATGTGTTAGACTGGCTAAATACATGGCCATTTCATATAAGGTTTTATATGAAATTTTCATGTGGGTTTCCAAGGATTCAATAAGAATCTGTGATTTTTAAAATTAATTTATTTTTACTAATATTGCAATGCATAATTTAAGGCCAAAAGAGGCCACTCCCCAGGGCAATGACCTTGATCCAGAGATCTGCCAGCACTGATATGGTAAGGTTTCCAAAGGTACCTAACTGTGAGTGTTTTGAAGAGATGAAATCATCACTTGGCAATCTTTCAATCACCACACCAATTTTGAAGCTCCTTTGCTGAATTTCTGTGGCATTTCTTAGCAGGAATTGAAATCGATCTCTTGTTAGGGTGTGGCAAATCCATTGTGAACAAAGTTTCTGCACCCCAAGATTTTCGTGCAGAATTTTTTCAATTGTTGGCATCCTAATCCCAAGGGTCTCACTTATGACAGCATATGTCACATTTTGATCCTCAATTATGGCCTTCAATTTAGCCACATTGGTTAGTTAACAACTGAAATTGGACAACCTTCACAGAACTAAAATTTACACACCCAAACTTCAAAAACCAGTAGTCCATAAAGTGCATAGATGGGCAAGGTTGCAAAGTGATGATTTCATCTCTTCAAAAGATTGTTTCAAAGATAGGTGCCTGTGGAAATCATACCAAATCACCATTTGCAGATCTCTCCAAGTCAAGTTCATCTGCCCAGGAGGCAGCCTTATGCTATGCATTGCCATATGGGCAAACATGTTTAAACAGATAAACAATTCCTATTGAATCCCTGAAAAAAAAATACCAAAAATTTCATTTCTTTCACTTTTGAATTGCCCATCATATATATGAAGCCCAGTGATCTCTGATAAGTGTGTAATCTCTTGATGGCATCTTGATGACATCAGAGGCCAAGGAAACAAGCCATATGCATTGATACTGGAAAAAAAAATAGTTACATCAACAAACTGCAGGAAAGAATAGTCCAACTTCACTGAGTTTAGGCCTTTTCTTAGTTTTCTTCACTTTTTTCTCTTTTCCATGAATTCTCACCAAAAAGAGGACTTCGTACAATCACTGCTATTTATTGTAAAAGGGGATGGTAATAGTTGGGAAAGGATGATAATAGTGATGGGAGAGAGGCACTTTTTTTACCAAAAATTTTCCCTGGCCCAGTCTGATTGGGACTTTTTTCTTGTAAATTTTACTGGCCATTGTGATCAGTCCATCAGGTACAGTGATAAAATTAAGACAGTTGTACCCAAAAAGGGAGATTCATATCCTTTCATATAAAATAATCACTTCAGTAATGGGTCATGCAAAAAAATACTATTACATTCTCAAGATCTTTGTCCTACAAAAGTGAAAAATAGAATCCAGCCCAGTTACAGACCTGCCATTCCACTGGCCTCTTTACCACTGGAATTAACTCTCTTCACCAAATGGTAACATTCCAACTTTAAAAATAAAAGCTGTCACTTGTACATCATAGGCCAATGTGAGTTGTCTACAACAACTCTATAATGTCCTAAAGGGCTCTTGTGTCTGCATCATGAGGGGAGGGGAGGGGAGGAGAGTAAAACCTAGAGGGTGTCAAATAAGAAATATCAAGAGTACACCCAGCAACCCTGTCTATGCTGCCATGAGCAGCTGCACTCTGCCATTGTCTGCTATGGATCTGTCCCCTGTGAGGGCAGAAAGGGAACTGGCAGTTTCAGCCATTGACTTGCAACCCAACCCAGAGAGGAGGTTGCACATGCGCACTGAGTCAAATTGTCTGGCTGTTATGGAAACTGTGAGGAGATGGAATGAAAAAAAAAAAGACTGACCAATTGCAATGTCAGTTTCCCACAGATCCCAACGGAAATGGCAAATAGCATCTCCCAAACAATCAGTTTGCTCTGATATCTTCAAAGATAAAGCAGAAAGCTTTTACAAAGAGTGAGAAGATGCTAGATGGAGAGAGAATGGGGCAGAGAAAGATATCCAAAAGCATTGGAATTCCTCTACATTTGCTGCATAAATTAGTTCTGAAATAGTGATCATTTTTAACCTGCTCCAAAGTGACTGCAGTAAGCAGTAGTGATTGTATCAATAAGAAATCACACTATTAATTCTACTAATATAGTATAATGTAATCATGATCCATTCCTGACCCCCTATTTTGCTCAACCTGATTATATTGGACTTTTTTCTGACGGGGTATGTATGTAGTTAACAAAGAATACATAACCTGCCTATGAAACTTACTTGAGCTTTGTCAATTGATTGCAGTTTATCTCAGTCCAACAGTGAAAAGGTTGTTGATACATCCAGAAATTACATTTATGCATTGTGCAAGCTCTGCATAAACCAGTCTATATTTTTTCTCCATATATTATGACTCCATGTTATTTTAAGACATTGCCATCCATAAATAAGTGAACTAAATCATTGGGGTAGAAGCCATCCTAATTAACCCCTTTCCTGCGGATGACATATATATAAGCGATTTATTATCTCTATTTTCAAAGTTGTTTTTTGTTCTTCATACCTGTTTAGATCTCTATACCTTCCTATGGATGACGTATATTTACGTCGTGGGACTTAGCACCTGGCTGAGGCTGGAATAATACCGTTGGGATGCTGGGCTGGCTTAGTCAGGGGTTAAGATTCATAGAGAAACTCTCAATGGGGCAGTTAATACCCATTAAAGGACAAAGGGTTAAAATTTAGAATTGACATCAGGGCTGGATGTTCATGCCACTCCTACTACAGTTGAATGAATGATCTGTTTATAGGTGAAGATATGACAACATAGCATCAGTTAGGAACTGGAATATACAGCATGATAGAGACATTGGGGCATATTTTCTTCAATCCTTGGGATGGAACAGGCTAATGTGTGAGTGGGTGGGCTGTGAAAGCTTTTGAATAATGAAGAACCAACCCATCTCAATGCCCTCTTTCTCACTTTTCTTTTCTTCCACTGATATACCTTGTATAATATTACAGTGACACTTTACTGCCATGCTGCACTGAGGATTTGTTTATCTGTGCGTGAACATAAGATGCAGGGCACCAATACTGGCAGGCCCAGTGAGGGCTTACACATACACATTTATCTCTTTGCATAGTCCCTTCGTGAAAGAACTTTTGCAAAATCTTCTTCCACATTGCACCCAACTACAAGTCCTGGCTGAAGGTAAATTTTGGCTGAGGGAAAATTTTGGCTGAAGCGAAATTTTTTCTGAAACTTCATACTTGTACCCCAGACCTCACAAGGTTTTGCTAAAATCTAAAAGGAAACAAAGAAAATATTCATAACTATGGTACCAAAATATGGTATCTGGTTCCATTCAAGACCAGATGAGGGTTCCAAATCACTGTCACTGTGAGAAGCACTTGATGGACAATGAGACAATGGAAAGCTGCAAGATGAGGAAAAATTTCAGAGGAAGTCAACATTTAACAAAATACATAATTTATAGGAATAAATATGACAAAAAATGTCAATAAAAAGCTGTGCTGCACTTCCTACTTAGCCTTTTAGCTAGCTATTTTCATAGGTGAGACCATGGCATATGCCACAGATTTGAGAGAGTTTTAAAGGAGTCCAAAGGTAATGGTGCATGGGACAGATTGATTTTCTTGAACTTTCTCCATGCACCACTACATCAAATAGACAGAAGCACATCACTGCAGAAACTGGTAAAGAGAAGGAAGGATAACTATCCCCAAGTTGGAGGAAAATTCTCTTTTATGTTGGAGTTCATGCATGTCACACCAAGTAGCAATGTCTAAGGAAAAAAAAAAATTACTTTTAACTGAAACTTCAAGAGATTTGCAAAGTGCTTGTAACTCTCCTCTCAATGTCCACATTTTTTTGTTCTATGATGCTGGGAAAGTGATTCACAAGTAGTCCATTAAGTAAGAGAACATATTTTAGCAAGACATTGAAAGTCCTCACAGTGAAATAAGGTGTTCATGCTATGCAGACATACAATTGCTCATATTCCTGTTCCCAAATATATCCTCTCATGCTAAGAAGAGGTTTGAGACAAAAATGACATTAAATGCCCCTGAGGCTTTCAGTTCTTAAAATCTCATCACACCTGAAATTGTGACAGCCTGAGAGGATCTTATATTGAAAATACATAATTGGATTCCAAGATCGCCACAAAGCATTTCAGTAATAGGGTGTTCACAAATTCTCTTTAAAATTTGCAAGTCTTATTGCTTCAAAACTAATGACGATAAAAAAAGTGAAATCAAAACCAAATTATGCAGGAACACTTCAAGTTTTATGCCACATAAGTACCAAGGTCATATTCATTCCACTGGTGGCAAATGAGTCAAATCAACAAAAATGCAGATTTCACAGGAGCTCAGAAAGCACTATGTGCTTTGTGGCTTGAAGAACCATGTGATGCTACTCTAGTGAACCTAGACATGTTCAAGAACTTTTTAGTATCACAAATGGATGAAGACATGAGGGATAACATTGTCTTCCAGCAAGATGGCATTCCTACACATTTTCATTGTCCAAAGATGTTTCTCATATAAAAATATACCCAGTATGTTAGATCAGTCAGGTAAATTCGCTTAGTCTCCATGATTGCCAGATCTCCCTTCACTGCATTTTTGCTTGTGAGAAAGCTTGTACACACTGTGAGACAATGTGCATCAATCTTCCCAACTGATCAGCATCACAGTACAAAAAATAAGATTATAACGGGAGTGTCCAATGTGGAAACAGATATGCTGGAGGGAATTCAGCATAAAAAATGAATATTGCTGGGAAGTGTATCATAACACATAAGTCACATTGAGAATCTCAAGGGCAAAATTTGAAGTGTTTCTGCATATTTTGGTTTTGGTTTCAACTTTTTATCATAATTAGTACCAGAACAATAAGACTTGCAAGTTATAAAGAGACTTTGTGAACACCATGTATATTCCATTAAGGTTTCTCCATATTTTTCAGTTCTTATGACATCTTTCGTGTCTAGAAACCTTTAATCTATTTCCTATCCATACATCAGCCCAAGAAATTGGATCCATCACACTTTTATTCAGCTATAAGTCTATGATCTCATTTTTTATTTTTTATTCATTTAGGTCCATGTTCTCTCCCAAGTGTCTTTCTATTCCACACAACCAAGGGATGAGAGCTAATAAGGAACCACATGATATATCAATGTATGTGAACACAAATTTGATGGAATATTAGAGTGGATGCTGGGTTTTTAACTGAAAAAAATAATCAAGAGTATGTTCTTTCTATTGTCACATTTTCTTTGGCTTAACATTTTATTTAGCCCTTGCCAACTCCATTTCCTCTGCTCAACAAAGTCAATTAAAGCTCAGGCCCCTAGGTCATTTCTGCTGAGCAAGAATCTCAGAAATTGGCTAGCTTTGATACCAACTACAAAGGTAGAGCTAAGAGCAGTGCAGTGATGATGAAAGTGGTCAAGGTAAGATCCAAGTCTCACCAGTACCTAAGTTTGTCAGAGGCTAATAAAAAATATGACCACATTGGAGATGTGCACAAGGAACATCCAGCCAAGTTTCACAATCTGAGAGAGTGTAAGGCCAATTTCTGGAAAAGTGGACACTGATGAGAATTTTTCCTAGTCATCAGTATCCTATCATTACAATAAACAATATAATCTACAAGGCTGTGAAAGCAGGCTGACCAGAGACAATGTCATCACAGCCACAATGAAAAAATTCTCCAATGAATGATCATCCTGCCATTCATGGCAGTTTCCCATTAATAGCATTCTGTTCCATGGCAAAGGCATGAATGGAGGGAGACTACAGGAGATTCAAAAACATTCATGATGTGTAAATGATGGGGCTCAATAAGAACTGCAGGAAATGAGCATTGGAAGTGATGACACCAAGCATCAAAAGAAGAATAAATCACACATAAATCTTCAGAGATAGTAGTGGAGTAAAGTAGTTGAGAACTCACAGAGAGGACAGCTTGAGGAGATGAAGCAATGAGATTGAAACACATACTATGACCATCTATGCAGCCTAACTGCCCAGGATGCTGCTTAGGCATAGGCAAAATTTTAGAAGGTGGAAGATGGTTCTCACATTCCCCAGCAAACAGGCTGAGGATGAAGCATAAGTGCCAAAAGAAGGAGCATTGTCAAGACTAAAACTCCACCAAGCAATCTTCTCTAGCAGGCACAATCTAGATAACACTGTCTTGGCATTCACTCTTAACTGCTAGCTAAATAACAGCATTCTGAATTCTATTCAAGGAAAGTAAAACCTGACAAGCACATCTAAATAATTGAGGGATAACAGGACCAAAGAAACAGATTCATTCAATAATAAATATTTGTAGTCATTTGGAGATACATTCCCAATGAAAAATGGCCAGTCATGTGTCAGCCATGACCACAATATTTGGTACATGCACATTTGAAGGATTTAGGTGGGAAATGATGAATATCACACCAGAGAGGAGATGTCACTCTGATAGCTTAGCCAAGCTGTCTGTCACTGATGTGACTTCGTGGAGTGATTCACTGCTGGAACTGTGTTGAAGAAGAGGCTCTTCACTGGAATGCACTGCTGCCAAGGGAGACATTCAGATACCATGAAACACAGCATTACATTTTGCAAGATCCCCTCCAAATCCCTTCCCTTTCATCTACCAACAAGAATCCAGAATTAAGGTCATGGGTATGGACAGAGTGAATCTTAACTCCTTGGCATGCAAGTGGCAATCCAGATGAAGTAGATGAGGTGAAGGATTAGGACAGAGTTGAGTCATGCATGGAGACTGGAAGTGAGGTGGCTTAAGTCTCTTTATTAAGAATCCAGCTTAAAATATATCTTGCACACGTGAAAGCACTCTCTCATTTTGATCCTGTGACACTCTGAGACATTGTTACATACCCCTTTGAGAAATATAAAAAGGAAGCCAGCCCACTTATTCCCTGATGGGAATTGAATCATGTAACACAGAGCTGTCTTTGGCTAAACATGAACATCATCATAGTACCTTAGCATGAATTGATTGCAAGCTATTAGTGATTTCTCATACTGAGTAAGTCTAGTATACATGTTTTCAGACACAGAATCAAAGATGTCTATGGAAATAATGTATTCAGTTTCAATTATGAATCTACACAAAGGGCACAGCCCATGGTCTCCATAACAAATAAGAATAGGAGGAAAATGGTTTTCATAAAGAAGCCCATGAGTCATGCATGCAGGCCATTGAATAACCTCAACCATTCAAAGCCATTTAAAACACCAAGAAATAAATTGAAATATACCAATATCATTCTTTGGAAGTTGTCAAGATTAGAGGGCGGAGAAGGGCTTCCCTCTGTGGCAGGAGGTTAGGAAAAGAGGACAAGCAAAATGCGAGGCAAGCCACATCAAATGAAACCAGAGCTAGACCACTGTTTACCCATTTTCTTAGAAGGATCCTACCAACTATTGAAATCAAAGCTTCCAAATCTTTAGCACCATGTTACTAATGCTATTTAAACATTGCAATACCTTAATGTTATGAACAGTGAGGGTGTATGCAATGGAAGGCCTATGGCAATACAGGAATGCAAAGTCCACTCAGACAAAAGAAAATACATCTACTGGCACAGTATTCAGAGAATGTGTACCTTGTGGCCAAGGATTTGCATGAAAGACACTGTCAAGTCTAGAACTACTTAAATGCAATTTTATTGTCAAATAGCTTTCTGACAGTCTTTTTGGAAGATTCACAAAGTTATAGATTTCTTGCTGAAAGGTTCCCATACTGATAGATGGTTTGAAAAAAATACAAAGTTTTCATGGTCTATCTCAATAGTCTTTTCATGTCTCTCTTTGGATGCTGCCATGGCCATTTTAAGCCATGGATTCCCACCATGCAGACTCATTTATAAATTCTGGGCTAGAACAAAGAAAAAGCATATTGATAGAACTTTCATATATAACAAGCTAAGAGTGACAGTCATGCTACAAAAGGCATGAACCATACACAGGGATGGGAAAAAGCTTAATTGCACAGTACCGGTACACAAGCTTGAAACATAGAAATATCACAAGGATAAGTTAGGTGATTGCATAAAATCCCCACTTTCTTTACACAAGAGATGCCTCACAGATACAAGTCAGGAGGAATGCTCCACACGCACTATTTCTACCATGGTGCACCAAATATGCTGCTAAGAAGCAGAACCAGAATAGTGTGAATTCTGGTGCACATCAGTGTGAGTGGGTATCTGTTTAGAGCGGCTTCGAGTACGGGGAGGGGAAGTAGAGGGGGAAGTATTACCCCAAGATGAGGAGACAGGAACGGAGTCTGAGCCCTCGCTTGCATGATTTCTCGAACCATCTTGTGGAGAGAGAGAAGGGGTGATTTTGAACAAATAGATGTTCATATGATCACAGATTTCTATGCAGACAAAAGAGCAGTATCTCATGCTGTCCACAGTGGCCCAGATCTGCATAAGAAAAAAAAAGAAAAAATTATGTAATAAGAGAAAATGTACCAAAATGACTTATCTGATTGGAGCTAGTCTTTGCATAAATTGCTTCATGAATTTATTTTCTCTCTCGAAGGAACAATGGGAAAAGCTTCGGAGAAGGAAGAAGTCTGCAGTTCCCAAACGCATCAGGGCTTCCCCCAAAGTGGAAGTTGCAGAGGCCTGGATGACTAACTTTCTGCGATGGCACGGACAGCATTCACCCTGCTCTACTAAGATGATCTACGTTCAAGGATACAACGCGAAGGAGCTCCATCAGCTGATGATATGCAGTCTCTCCAAAGGCATCCCTAAGGAAAACCTCCTGCATTACACGTCGTTCACAGTGCTTCTGAAGAAAATGAAAGTCTCTTTCGGAAAGGTGGGATGATGATGATTTATGATTTTTTCTCGCATTCCTGTGAACTTAG